CCCCCCCCCGCAAATGTACTTGATAATTGTTTCCTTATTTCCTCTGATTGTCATCGTTAATTCTTTTTTTAAAGACATAGTTTCTTGTAGAAAGTCTTTAGGAAAATGTAATATTAAATATAAAGTACAAATGAGACATAGAATTCACAGAAGTCTAAGAGCCTATCAATCAAAATGCACCCATCTCCTGATTTGGGGAAGGCTTACACCAGGAATTTGGATACTTAAAAAAATTTTTTTTTCATATTAAAGTTTGATAAATCTACTCTACCAATTTTAGATTTAATTTGAACAGATTATTATATACCTTTTCTAATTTTTTTTAGCATAAGTCTGACTTTGGAGACAGTATATCTTAATTTTGGCACTATTTTAATTTCACTTTTACTTACTGTCACCTTTATAAGACCTGTTTCTATGTAGCTTTGGGACTATAGAAGTGGTGTGTATACAAGAAAATAGAAAACAAGTTCTTTTTATTGTTTGTTTTTTTCTGTCATTATTTGCTTCAGAAGTAATTACTGAAAATTATTTCTAGAAACAGTCCTAAAAAGTCATATCCTAAAGAAATTCCAGTCCTGGGATGAGAATAAGAATTTTATACTCCCACATAATATCCTAGGTGGTTTGGGGAAAATAACTAGGCTTTCATATTTAGTCTAAAAATGTGTTGTTTCTCTTCACTTGCATAAAGATATAAAGATATGGACATACATTGATAAAAAGAAACATTAAGCTAATTTTGGGTAAAGAGAAGGGAAAATATTTTTTTTTAAAGTGAAGTGGTAGATATAGTTGAAATTTTGTGTCTTACCTATGAGATATTTAACTAACATGAGCACTGCACACATGTTTATGGAATTAAAATCTGGAAGTGAAATTTTTTTCTACATGTTAAATTTTTTATTAAAGTTGCAACATATTTGGGAATTTTTTTTTTTTTTTTACCTAGGTATGGAACAAGGCAGTTGTAAGAAATATGTATATCTGAATAAATATCTGGGTGATGTTAAAAATATTAAAGTTGTATATGGACCTGCAGCTCGATTGAGACCCTCTGATGTCCCAGATAAATACTATTCATGTAAGTATAGTTTATGCTAACCTTGAATTTGATTGTGATTAGAATACATTCCTTTAAATCATTATATGTCTAAACTAAAGGGAACCAATTAAAGTTAATTTCCTTTTCATGATTAAATAATCTTCAGTGCAAATCTTCCAAAGGGACTGGATGTGAGGACACGTCTAACCACTTATCTGTTTGGTATTTATGGCTAAGAATGTTATTCGATAAGCTTAGTACAATTTTATGTTGTATTCTGTGTTTTGCTTTTATTAGGCTCAAGACTACTTGTACAAAAAAGAATTTAAGAGAAAAGTTTAGCTATAACTATTTAACTTTAATTAATGATATTCCATTAAAATAACTTACCGAGGTTATAAAATAATATTCTATTATGAGGAGGAGTGCTGCCAGAGATGATTCATTCTATAAGCAACTGATTTCCGTCCTCAGAAATGACCTTCTTAAACCATTTCAAAGAGCAATAAGAATGTATTTTATAAACGGAGAACAAGAAATTTTTCATTCTCTCTTGACCACCCAGACTGCCAAGAAATACTTTAAAATGTTTACTCTTTTGCAAGTCAAGCCTATTTCATAATTGTTTGTACTTCTGTTATACTCCTCTTTTTTTGTTTATTTTCCTAAAAAAACAAATTCATAATAGTAAGACTATCAGTTTTTCTAAAATTAGAGGACAATTTTCCTTGAGAAATTTTATGTCTACCCCTCTTTTTGATTACCATCCTTGGTAACTTTCAGATACTTAGGGCAATTTTGTTTACTTTTCTGTTACAATTGACTTCTAAAATGGAAGGAGAAGAAAGCCATCTGACAGTTATCAAAATTGGGATAGCATACAGTGATGAGATAAACATCAAATTACCACAACAAAATTGGGGTTAGATTTTGCCACTGCAGTGCTATATACTTTAATAGATACTATTGAATATTCATAAGGAAAAAATAGATTTTGTTTCAGGAAAATGGTTATGCAAATATATTAGCATAGCAACCCAAAGCACAGACTCTATATACATGACAAGTTTTAATTAGTATTTTTATTTTTATTTTATTGATTTGAAAGAAGAGGGAGGAGAGAGAGAGAGAAAGAAAGAGAGGGAGAGAGAGGGGTGTTGTTCCACTTATGAATGCATTCATTGGTTGATTTTTGTATGTGCCCTGACCAGGGATCAAACCCGCAACCTTGGCGTATTGGGATGTTGCTCTAACCAACTTAGCTATCTGGCCAGGACCTCCAATTAGTATTTTTTAAATGTATAAAAGTAATACACAATAGTTATAAAACCTCATGAAAACTACGGAGGCAGTGGCAGTCCCAGAAATGTTTAGGATGGGATGGCTAAGCTTTAGCCACACCCTTAGCTCAGTTAGCAGCCCCCCAAGTTTCCCAAATTAAAGCAAAAACAGGTCTATTTATCTGCATATATAAATAAAACACATATATAGTACACATTCTCTTACCTGGATAATTTTCTCAACCTTATGTAAAGTCTAGCTAAAAGGATCTTAGAAAGCTAGCCTGCTACTGATTTGTAGCCCGAGGTACACTAAATAGGTAACTGTGGGCTTGCTGTGCAAACACAGTTCCAAACTATTCTACTTGTCCCCTTTTCTGAGCTCCCCTGTATCCCTCTTACTTTGAAATTCTGGAATTATCAGTGATTATCAAAGTATATAAAGTAAAAAGTAACAGTTTCCCAGCCTAAACTCCCCTAATTCACAACTCAGTTCCTCTCTTTAGAGGTGAACATTGTTAAGTTTGGAATGTGTCTCCTCAGATGTTTTCTGTGTGTATATAAAACACATTCACTTTTATTTTTACACAGTGAAGTCATACAAGCTCTAGACAGATGGAAGCATGAGTATTTGACTGTATGAACAGATAGATGGATGGGTAGATGGATGGACAGGTAGTTGGATAGATGACCAGATGGAGACAGTTGGATGGACAGATGGATGGAGAGGTCGATGTTCATTTAACAATATGACATAATTTCACAGGCTTGGGGTGGGGATTCCTAAACATCTGTCTTATTCCTGTCAATGGCTAATACATAATGATTTAAATGAGCTGCTTGAAACCTGCTTTGGTATTTAAATATTGTCTGACAATCTATATTTTTGTATTATTTTTAGTTCTAATTGTAGTGTACCATCAACAATTATTTTTGTCTTTGTCCCCTTCAGTTAATTATGAAGGCATTGCCAGAAATCTTTCTGTGAGTATCTTTATTGTTCCATTCTTGAATTACTGTGAGTTTTGTATAATATATATTTAGAAAATGTTCAGGATTTGTTCTTGAGATTATAGGATTAGAATTTTTTAGTAACTGGGCCAATACTTAAATGCTCTGTAGATTTTTAAAAATCTTTAAGGGCATGTCCCAATAATCTGGGTTTGAAAATTTTTGAGAATTTGTTTATTGGCATTGTTAAATTTATGTGACAATACAAGAAATGCATAATCGGAAACACTAGAAGGAAAAAAACCATAGCTGTACCACCATAAACACTGTTAGCATCACAATATATTTTCTACCAGTCTTTTTTAATGCCAATTTTAAAAAATATGTTTTTGTCCTAGAGCTGAGTTATCTATACTACTTTTTTTTTTTTTACTTGATAGAAAATTTTTGGAGAAAATTTTTACAATTGTAATTATACGAGTATTTGAAAAGAGGATCATCAGTAGTAACACAAATATAATCTGGTGGCACACTCTAAGCATCCTGAGACATCTATGCAATGATTATGATTTCATGTAAAAATAAGAATATTCAATAGCTATTTAACCTGTACATTATACAAATAGTAAGAACTCATTTATTTTTCCACGTGTGATGTGTTGGGCATGCTGGTAAAATATTAGTGAGAAAAAATTCATGTAGAGTTAGAAAGCACTTTCAAAAGAAGTTTACACTTAAGAAAATATTCAAATAATGGTGTTTTTTTGCCTTCTACAATTTCAGTGCCGGGAGCCAAACCAGCACTTCAAACCTTACCTAAAACAGTTCTTACCCAAGCGGCTGCACTTTGCCAAAAGTGACAGGATTGAGCCCTTGACATTCTATTTGGACCCTCAGTGGCAACTTGCATTGTAAGTTCTGATAACCTCCCAGATAAACTTAGCCTGATCTGTTAGTAAGTCAAGGTAACCGTTGGACTCTTTCCAACAATGTATTATATGAAAACTGCACAAATATGATTCTCTACATTCTATTCTAGGATTTTTCAACCTTGGTCTCTTGACATTTGGGATCAGATAATTCTTTATTGCGGGGAGTTGTCTTGTGTATTATGGGATGTTTGAAATCATTCCTGGCTTCTACTCATTAGATGAAAAACTACTCATTCTATAGCTGTAACAACCAAAAATGTCACCCGGCATTGCCAGAACTCCCCTGGCAAGGGGGGTTCACCCACAGCTAAGAGCCACTGCTTTGTCCATTCACATCCGCAGTGATTATTTCTTAGGCTTCAGATTTGTGTCACCATATGCTATTATATCTTTTCTGCACATTACAGTTATGCCTAATAATATCTTCAAAGTCCAGCAAATAATTGGCAAAAGCTCTTTACCTTATAATGACCAATTACCTTCATCATTTTACACAGTTGTTTTTTTCATTCTTGTTATACTAATCTGTCAATATATTTCAGTTTATTGGTGCGTTCAGCAAATTATTTAGATAATTAATATGGTTAACATCTCAAAACTGGATCATTAACTCTTTTGACTGTTTCTACGAAGCCAGGGGTGCAGACTTGACTCAACAGAATTGCACTGTCTCTGCTTCATTAGAGACCTGTGCTTTGGCAATATGAAAAAGGCTGGTTCTTACCCTCACGGGAGAATTAATATTTAGTGAACATCTACTATGTTTCAAGCATTTCTTTAGGTTAAACCATTTAGTTTTTATAAACGACTCAATTGGACAAAATTGAAACCAAGAGAAGATAATTAAATTTCTAAAGTCACAGCTAATTATTATCACAATCAGGGTTCAAGGCTAGTTCTGTCTCAGTGATAGTGGTTTTTTCTCTCTATACAATATTGCTTATAGCTGATTTGTCTACAAAATAAAAGATAAAGGTGGCTTCTTAATGCTTTTCAAAGGCCAGTGATTTATTTACCTTCTCTTGATTTCTTTAAAAAAAATAGTTACTTGCTCTTTATTAATGAAAATGATGCCCTGGTTATCAATTTTGCTTTATGAATGGACTTTACATTATTAATTCATATTATGTAAAAATTAGGAATCCTTCAGAAAGGAAATATTGTGGAGGTGGATTTCATGGCTCTGACAACATATTTTCAAATATGCAAGTGAGTATATCTATTATATTTTTTAAAAGCAATAGTTACAGCTGAAGAAAAACTGATAAAGTTTTAGACTTAAAAGCACAGACATTATGCATCTTGAATAAGAAGTAATGAAGAATATACTTTCATATAACTATTTTCCTTTGGGCATTAATTAAATTAATAGAATTTTGTTAAAATTTACATTAATATTTCATGAAAATGTGACATATGCCTCCTACTAAATTTCCAGTAATTATTTTGTATATATTATGCTCCATTAAGAATATTACTCCACATTAAATGGAAGACAATTTGTTAACACTTCAGAAGATATCATACTTATGCTCTAAATGAAGATAATACCTTATATTTACCTCGCACTTTAAATTTTTAAAAATATACTCACAATAATTATTTAATTTGATCCCTGCAACACTGTGTGAGGAGGGGTATATTCCATTCCATAGATGAAATAAGATTTCATCATAATTCTGTTCTGAATGTCAAGTCAGGAATTATAATAAAGCTAAGAGAAATATCCTAGATGTCTTTAGATTATTTGTGCAACAGGGGTTAAAAAATTCCACCAAGCCCATTGGGCATAGTATTTTTTCTCTTAAGGTAACCAGTTTGTATATGTACAGTGTAGATAATATAAAATTACTTTTAAAAAAGTTTTTAGTTTTAGTTTCCCAATTACAGTTGACATTCAACATTTTGTTAGTTTCAGATGTACAGCATAGCAGTTAGACACTTATATAACTTACTAAGTGATTCTCCAGTAAGTTAGTACCAGCTTGGCACTATGCATAGTTATTATACTGTTATAGACAATATTCTCTATGCGGTACTTTACATTTGATCAACTACAAACATAACTAGAATTCATAAACTGCTACTTTCCTGGTCAATCTAGGCCCTCTTTATTGGCTATGGACCTGGATTCAAGCACGGCACTGAAGTTGATTCTTTTGAAAATATTGAAGTCTATAACTTAATGTGTGGTAAGTGTGAAGAGGCAGCTTTCATCTCTTCTGAAAATAGAGCTGGAATAGGATGACCAAAAATAGGCCACTTGATGGGCACCTTAGTGGAGATGATGATGAGACAAGATAGACCCTCACATTCCCACCATTTTTCTTCCTGACCCAGAGTCACTGAAAAAATGTGCTGAACATACAATCTGATTACTTATCTGATTCTTCCACTAGGCTGCACATTGGTTGAGTACAACACCCAGAGTGGAAAGGCCTGTACATCCCCAGTGCCTATTACTTTTCCAGGCCCTGGGCTTAATTATGTGACCACTGAATTTGATCAGTGGTGGAAGCCAGAGAAAAGAGTTCAGGGGCTATAAAAGGTAGACAAAACAGGTGGAATATCTGGTAGCAAAAATAGTTGAATGGATGGCAATGTCAAGGTTATAAAAATGAAGGCAGACCCATTAATATATTCTTGGTTTACTCTGTACCTTCTTTATGATTCTTTCTGGGTGGAGTATTACATCTCAAGTATGACTTCCTTTTTCTGATGATCCTGGATTTTTGCAAAACCTTAAGGATATCCTAAGTATAATTCTTTCAATGGGAGTTGATATACATAAATGAGCTAATAGATCCTAAAGCACTTAAAACAGTACCTGACAGAATAAGTGCTTTACTATATAAGTGTTTGCTATTATTATTATTAAGAGCATGAATCTTAGACTTGGACAAAGCTGGTTTTGAATCCCGGGTCTATTATGTTAGTAGTTTTGAGACCTTGAGCAAAGTGCTCTTATTACTCATATGCCAAATCTTGACAGATAACCTATTAAATTGTTTGGAGGATTAAATAAGAAAAATATATTAGCATAGTGATTGGCATATAATAAGCATTCAACATATGCTAACTATAGTTATTATACACATTAAAATTCAGAAATTTTTATAGGGAAGTACAGCATATATCTCAGTATTTTCATAAAGAATAGCATAGTTATAAATACTCTAAACCCCAGGAGATTTTATAGTTTTATTTTAGATAAAGAGTTAAGCACTCATATAGATTTGGTTTTAAATCATAAGAATCATAGTACAAGTCTACTATTTATTTGATTTTGAAACTTTTAAGTAAATCTTTACCATTCCTGGAATTATGCAGATTTACTGAATTTGACACCTGCTCCTAATAACGGAACTCAAGGAAGTCTTAACCACCTTCTAAAGAATCCCGTTTATACCCCAAAGCATCCCAAAGAAGCCCGCCCCCTGGTACAGTGCCCCTTCACAGAGACCCCCAGAGAGAACCTTGGCTGCTCGTGTGACCCCTCGGTAAGTGTTGAGAAGTTGAGCCCGATGTGTATGTTTTCATAGCACCTTCTGCATAGCATGTGCTGTGGAAATACTTAATGATCAAGTTAAAATTTATGAGTGAGAGTGAAAATATTTATTTTTAATTCTAGTGACACATGCAGACCTTTTATTATTTATTTTTTCCCTACCTTGTTTTTTTGTATTTTTGCCTCTATTTTTAATCCCTGGGTGTTGTGACTTGACTTGCAGTTTGGGAGAGGTTTAGCTGAGTCCTGTTATCCCAGCACTTGGTCGTGATTATAAACTGATCACCATATTGCTTCTCTAAAGTAAATCCCCACCTATTTTAAATTTAGGGGGAAAACATCATGTTTTGGTACGAAATGAATATATGGCACTGTTCCATTTTTCTCCAACCTTCATATATAGCTGTCATAAAAGGAGGAAAATATGTGACAAGTTATAAAAAAAGAGATGGGATCCCTAAAGATAGAAATTTGGGGAGTGGTTGAGTTTATGCTTTCTGTTTTATTTTAGGCTTTTAGAAAGACTGTAAGGGTGGAGATAAGATGTTTAAAGCAGCAATTATATTCTTATTTTTCAATTAATAGTGTGCTTACACTAACAAGTTTGTCATTTTGCAACTGTCATCCCTATCTTTTCATCTTCTACATTAAAACAATAATTTTTACATGTACAAGGTGGTTTTAAATTGTATCTTTGTTCTATAGTGGGATAATTAACCTATAGACATTGCTCCTTATAAAATTAGAACATGTCTGTCATTCTTTAAAAATAGTATTATTAACTTTTTAGATTTTTCCAGTCGTGGATTTTCAGACACAGTTGAATCTGACCGTGGCAGAAGGTAAGGCATGTTTAATCTTGAACATGGAACATAAAAGTAGGCTTTTTCTGTATAGTGTGAACCAAAGAGAATGGGTTTGAGGGCAATTTTTAGACTGACTAATAAAATAAAGGGAGTAGTAAAAGACCACCTGATAAAACAGAGATTTCTTTGCTTCACAGTCTAGACTATTAGTCATAAGGAAAAAAGGAATATTTTCAGTGGAAGCAACATGCAGTATATCTAGTGGAAAGTGGATCACTCTTTATAAGACATTAGAGATGTTTCGAGATTTGGAAGATTTTTATAGGTTTATAATAAATCTTTTAATTTCTACTTAAAATACTTGTTAAATGTGTCTCTCACTGAGTTCTCAGTTACGAGAGAGTATATAAATTGATGTATTTATCTAAAGTTATTTCTTCATAACTTTTGAATGAAAATTAAGACTATGCAGACACCGATGGAATCTGTCAGTTGTGACTTGGATGTTCAATGACATTTCAATACAGTCTCTGATACACTTGACAGAGTCTCTGATAGATTAAATTACTTGTCATACAGTTTTTTCATGCTGGCATAAAACAGTGAATTCTGCACTGCTCTTTACTTGAATTTGTCTGAATAAAATTCAATAAATGTTCAGGTTGGAGAAACCTTCGATGATCCCAAGGTGTTAAAGTGCTGTGGTAAAGAATGATACTTCTGGAATTGGGTAGATCTGGGTTTGAATATGAGCTTAGGAACTATATGTCCAAAAGTATTTACTTCCTATAAGCTGCTGTTTCTCATCTGTAAATTGGGCATATAACCTTAACTCATGGTGCTACTTAAGAATTAAAGTAGATGCTGTCACAAAGAACCCTACAAAGCACCTGACACTTGGGAAAAGGGAATAAATAGTATGGACTGTTATTGCTTCATTCAGTTTAGTCTCATAATTTCAGGTCTGAATTTTTGCTTCCCAAGTACACATATTATCCAGAAAATTTTCTTTCTGGAACATCCTGAACAATAAGTAATTGAAATAATGTTAAATAATTTTTTAGTAATATAATTTAAGTCCTAATTGCTGAAATTTCTAGCAGTTTCATGTATATTGTAATATCTTCATATTATATTGCTCTTTCAAAATCTGCATGGACAAAAAAATGCAGTGAATTCCTTTTGTTTCTTTTTTTAAATATGTTTTTATTGATTTCAGGGAGAGGAAGGGAGAGGGAGAGAGATACAGAAACATCAGTGATGAGAGAGAATCATTGATCGGCTGCCTCCTGCACGCCCCTAACTGGGAATCGAGCCCCTGACCTGGGCATGTGCCCTGACCAGGAACCGAACCATGACCTCCTGGTTCATAGGGCGACACCCAGGCACTGAGCCACACCAGCCGGGCTTTTGTTTTCTTAATTATTTATGGTGCTACTCTTTGTAATTAGCTTTTTGTTAGAGTTAAAAATAACTTTTCAGTAGGGTTAAGTAGGGGAAAGAATTAGATGAGTGTATCATATATATTATCATGTAATGCACTCTAAGTACATTTAAATGGTGGTTTTGTTTTCCTCCTATGACCCAAGAGAAGGTTATTAAGCGTGGTGCTTTGCCCTATGGGAGACCCAGAGTTCTCCAGAAGAACAGCTCTGTCTGTCTGCTCTACCAGCACCGGTTTGTGAGTGGTTACAGCCATGACATCCAAATGCCCCTTTGGTCCTCCTACACCGTGGACAGAAATGCAAGTATTTGTCACCCCTTTAGCTCTGTGTGGTTATTTCCAGTTATCATTAAGCAAAACATTGAAAACATTATTCCTCACTGTTAATCTTGGCTTTATAATCACTTTTCAAATTAGTTCGCTGAACCCCGGGAGTCAGAAAAATTAGGTTCCAGCTCTGCCACTCACTAGCCTGTGACTTTGAGACTCAGCATATTTCTTTTCCTGTGAAATGAGGGATATGCAGTAAAGGCTTCTCTCTTGCCTTTGGTTTAAATATTTTATGATTTTACTTTATAATTTTATGAAATCATTTTTACAATCTGTCATAATTATTCATCTCTAAATACATAGTATATGAGCACGAGAGTTTTCCTCAACTGCTTAACTCTTAGCAAATCCTCACTGATGGAGAAGGCTCAGTCACCCCCCAGAATATACCATCCATCCACAGGAGGACCCCCAGTCCAAACCAGGGGGCGGCTGGGGGTCTTGTTCATCCCCTAGACCAGAAGTTTCAGACCTTGAGAGGAGTGAGGGAAAATATCCCAGAATAAGACCACCATTTCTCCTTACTCCTGGGTGTTGTGGTGGAAAGAGAAAGAGAGAAGGCCTGGGAGGAGAGAACAAAGGGCGGAGATGAGATCTAGATCTTACTTNTCTCCTTACTCCTGGGTGTTGTGGTGGAAAGAGAAAGAGAGAAGGCCTGGGAGGAGAGAACAAAGGGCGGAGATGAGATCTAGACCTTACTTGGAATGGAAGTTTTAAACAAGACTGACCAGCTTTTCAGAAACTGAAAGTGTCTGGCAAGCTGCGCGATGACCTTAAAAGATNTGGAATGGAAGTTTTAAACAAGACTGACCAGCTTTTCAGAAACTGAAAGTCTGGCAAGCTGTGCGATGACCTTAAAAGAGAGAAAGGGAAATTTGAGAGAGCTTAGATGAGTTAGATTTAAAAAATAAAACTATTGTTGATATCACCAAGATTGCTAAATAAAAATATAAGGATATGTGTATATATACATATGTGTATGTAATTTCTGTGTTTAAAATAAACATATAATACACATTCAGATATTTACATAAAATTTCTACTTTAAACTTGAATTAAAAAAAATATTTTGAAGACTATATTCAAGCACAGTAAATGCTTTACACTTTTTTTGTTTGACTTTATACTATGTAGCATTCTATACAGTTTTTTAGGTTCCATCCAATTTATTGTGGCTTAATGCCTCAACTATGGTGTTTTGATTGTTTCAGTTTTCCTATATTAATCAAAGCTGCAAAACTTCCTAGTCATCACTACTCCCCAGGTTTTCACATGTCATTGCTGTGCAGTGGCTTTTTTACACCTGCTCACCCCCAAACTCTTGGTTGTGTAATTGAGTCTGGAATATGGTCTCAGATTTCTAAAAATCATCAATTCTCTATATAAAAGTTTGAAATTGAGTAAAATTAAAACATTATAGACAAAATTAGCTCAACATAGTAGGAAAATATTTGCACATATATGACAAATGATTAGTATCCTTAGTATTAGAAAGAGGTTTGTACTTAAGATTGAAAAAAGATAAATACAATAGTAGAAAATGGAAAACTGATGAAGGACATGGACAGACAGCTAGAGCTCCATAACTTTATGATATAGTTCACCTGGAACTATTTACAAACAATCTCCTTTGCTTCTATATACCTGATACCTGATGGTGCTTTTCATTTTGTTCTTCAGGACAGTTTCTCTACAGAAGACTTTTCCAACTGCCTTTACCAGGATCTTCGAATTTCTCTTAGTCCTGTCCATAAATGTTCATTTTATAAAAATAACGCTAAAATGAGTTATGGGTTCCTGTCCCCACCACGTAAGTTTCTCTCTCACTGGCCCTCTTTCCCCTACCCTCCTTCTCGCTTTTCTTTCTTACGGGGCCGTGTATATCCTCTTATTTACCTATTGATGAAAATTGTGAGTGAGAAATATAACTATTAGGGAAAATTTAAAACTAGCTCTAAAACTTGAACCGTAGAAAACTTTTCCTGTTGTTTGAAGGGTAGTTGACTTAGTGCAGATACTGTAGGCAGGACATTCTTTACTTTTCTGCATTTCTTTTTTTTTTTTTTTTATTGT